ATGCCGGTGCCTACGGCGCCACGTACATGCTTTACCCCGGGCTCTTGCCCACCGCCACCGTGCTGCCCGCCGGCGCTCTGCAGCGCCCGCTGTCTCACTCGGGAAGCGATGCCAGTGCTCCGGCAGAGCCTGGCAGCCCAGCAGCAGCAGAGGCAGCTTTTGCCGAGAGTCCCTACTACGTGGCTACCAGCAAAGGCCCGCCGCCGCCACGGCACGGGGCAGCCGAGGCGAAGCCGGTCATCAGCATAACAGCGCCAGCCACCGGCCCGAGGATCGTCGCGCCGCCCTCCTTCGACGGCACCACCATGCGCTTTGTGGTAGAGCACCGGTGAAGGGCGCAGGTGAGAGTGCTGGCTGTCAGGCACGACAGTCACCAGTGATGGTTAAGGGCAGACCTGGTTAATTCCAAGTGACAGCTGTGCCACAGCTTCTCAAGGAGGAGAGGGTCCACAGACGGGCTCTTACCAGGGCTTAAAATGTAGGCATAAGATAGAAACACAAAGGTTACACACACCCACTGGTGCAGTTCAGTATCCCTTGCAGCAGTAAATGTCGTCTTTCTTCAGACCGGAGGCAGTTTCAGGAGAAGCACACCGGAGCTGCTTGTCACACAGCCCGCATTTTTGCAGCCTTGGGGCTGAGGCACCTCCCTTTGCTCCTGGGGATGGAAGTGTGTTTGGGCATCTCCTCTGGAATCATCTTCCAAGCCACGAAAGAGTCCCTTCGCCTTGGCAACACATCCTCCCCTTTTCTCACCTCTTGCCTCTTCCTCCCAAGGAGTTGAGCACCTCTCGCTTTGCCCTTGAGCCCCTGTTTCTCCCTAGCCTCAAGAAGAGCGGGAGAGGGGTCTCATGGAAGCAAACCCTTATTTCATGTCCTTCTCATTAGTGGGATGAGGGAGCAGGATGCATGGGGTGGACCCTGGTGTGCTCTCCCAGTGCCATGGAGCTGCTGGCAGGGGCCTGTGGTGCAGGAGAGCTCCAGAAGAGCCCACAGGCACCGTTGCTAAGCACAGTTTTGCATAGCTACTTGGAGCTTGGCCTGCCACAGTGCTAACAGTGTCCAGTTACCTAGGCTGTAACCCAGGGCCAGCCTCCAAATTCAGGGATGCATGTGCAAGGGCATTGAATACCTGTCCTGGAGCAAGGAGCATTGGACTGGGCATACAGCATGCATTGAAACCAGGGCTCAGGATGGTGCAGGATGTCTTGTACAACATACCCAAGGAACAGTGACATTTCATTTTAAAAGATCTGAAAAAATTACATAACTGCCTTCAGGACCTTTTGTCTCTTGCATTAGAATGTATGGCTCATCTTTATCAAATGCAATATTGGGCAGAGCTACCAAAATCTTCTGTGGCTTATCAAAAAACTCACAGAGCTGGTTTTTGGTGTATATGAAAAGGTAAAGAAAAAGAGCAGCAACAGACAGTCAGAGGTTTGGATTTGTCACCAGTTTATGTTGAGCTTTGTCCAGTTGGATGCTTGAGGGTTTCTTCCAGCACCTGGGTTATCTTTTTTGTTTTAACAGTTCTTTTAGTTTGCATCATCTACTACTGCATTGTAGATTATTTGTTGAATGAAACCTTACTGATGTGATTTATACACTTATTTTTTCTCTGCTTCTAAATATTTTATCTTGAAAGTTCCATTCATTTATCCTGGCTATAAGTTAAGTTGTTTTCATTGCCCTTATGAGTCACTCGGGATAGTCAAAGTGCCAATTTAACTTGAACTCTACTGTTCTACTCAGCTTCATCTTGTCAGTAAAGTCTCCATAGCATATCTAGAAAAAATGGCAAAAAGTAATTGATTTTTTTTTCCATTTGATCTACTGGCTGAATTGAGACTGCTAGCAGAAGGAATTTGTTAGATTTCAGTTTAGAGGCTTGACGTTTTTGAAAAGGTGTGGTATATAGCACCCATATTTCTAACAGCACCCATTTAAACAAAAACCTCTAGCTTTTCTTATATCACTCTTTGAAAGTGAAACCCAATATATTTCCCAGTGTGACCCACCCCTCGATTCCCAGGGGTTATCCTGCCATGTCATGTAGCAAGCTTGCCTACCGTACCTGGTGAGGTGGGTGATGCTCTTGGCAAATTGCTGTTTCTCAGTGGTGAAGTTAATAACTGCATCGATACTCTGCTTAATTGTGTTACCTCAGAGCTCTACCATTGCAACACAAGTGTGAAAGCTGCCCCAAAAGACTGGTGATGCAAAAACTTTTCATACTCATTACAGAAAGTCATTCAGCAGTATGAAGACTTTAAGTTGATTTTACCATTTTTTAAATCTTTTAACATGCCAAGGTGCATGTTGTCTAATACAGAGAGGGATGCCCCCTCCAGGCTGTCTCAGACCTCCTGAGGTAGGTGTCCTGCTAGTGTGTGACGGATAAGGTGTACAGGTTTTATTTCTTGACCTGTTCTGAAAGTCAGTAAAAGAAATAATTTTACCTGTGTGCTGCAAGACACATCTAGCTTGGCATTAGACTTTGGTTATTCATATAACTCTCAGCGGAAAATAGGGTATATGCCAGAGGGGAATTGCATCTAT